GGAAGGGTGGGGTACACCCTGGATGGGACGCCCATCGTGGGGCACAAACAGACATGCGCACACTTATACCAGGCCACATTTTCCCAGAAGCCAATTTTCCCATCACTGTCTTTTTTTTTTCTTTTTTCAAAATAAACTTTATTTCAAAGAAAGAACAACTCACAATACGTACACGTGCCAACAAAATATCAAGCTATCATCAAATAAAGAAAAAAAACGTTCCAAATGAGGCGATTCTCCACTATCAATCATTGCAAGTGGGTGGTGGGGCCCATCACTGTCTTTTTACTGTGGAAGAAAGCCCGAGCACCTGGAGAAGACATACAGACTCCACACAGCCGGCACCCCAGGTCGGACACTGACCCCGGGACCCAGACCTGTGGTGGGTTGGCAGCAGTGCTGACCGCTGAGCCACTGGCTATTGGTCTTAATTCATTCATCTGCCCACCGTCTTGTTTCAGCTTTGTTCTCTGTCTGTCGTGTTTCCTAGGAGAGGCTGTTAACCTCCTTGCAGTAAATGCACATTAGCAAGGACTGGCTGGCTCATAGTGTGGTCTTGCCCATTCTTCCCTACAACCTTGCGATGAACTCACTGCAAGGCTAGTTAATTTCAGGATGGGAGACCCCTCTATGGTACTGAATTCATTCCCCGGCACCTTCACTGGGAGTCGGCAAGGGATTTATGCAGCAGTTTGCAGAAAGTTGTTTTCCAGCATTGGCTTACTGCAGTATTTTCCAATATCTTTTTTTTTCTGAGTCGACACCCTTAGGAAAACTGTGCATTGAAATTTTGCATAATTTGTTTACCATTTATCTTGCTTGCATTGTACCCCCCTGAGGTACTTATGATTTACTTTACTGCACTGGCTTAAAATAGTACCATGATTTACTGTAGTATTTGATAGCCCTTACAAAATGCACAATATTGTCATTGAGTGAGGTAAATGCTGGTTCTTCTTGAGGAAGCTTGCATTTCCATTTTCTTACGTCAGTCTTGCAGAAGTCATTTATTTCACACTTGGTAGCAGACAAGTGGATTCTGATGATGTCACTGGTTCAGTGCTGAATTCAGTGGGATTACACTCTGTACAATAATGCATTGCCATCAAGCTGGTGTTTCCACACTATATGGTGAATTGAATCTTTACAACTGCATGGCTAAAAAAATCACTATTCTGTATTCAAAAGAAACTTCATTTAAACTTAAATTTCACCCCAACAGCCGTGCCTTGCTGTCTTGAAAGATAATCGACTGGGAGAAGACCTATGGTTAAAAAGTAAGAATGCTGCACCCCCATGCTCATTGATAAGGTGTCCCCTACCAGTGCAGATATAGACATTGAATTTGTTATACCCAGGATATAGTATAGCTTTCCAGTTGTGTTACACTCTAGTCTTTGTTAAAAGCATTCATAAACCATAGCATTTTCTACAGCATACTTTAGTCATTAAACCACTTTCTGGACAACTCCGATATTTTGTTTTGTAACTTAAAATTGAAACAGTGCCCTGAAGCCGATAATGCAGTGTTTGCTGCACAGGGAGGGGAAATAAGGAATCGCAGGAAAAACACTTATTGTACTGGTTTATAGTGCAGAACTGTAGGTCTTGCTACCCTCAAAACGGCAACGTGGGTTCGTCGACCTTTTATTTATGAGACATCGAAGTGTTTGTCTGGAAGGTGTGAGAGCTGCCATTGTGTTTTTGTCCATGCTGACGGTTAAGGTGCCCGTGGCAGACAGCCGCAGGTCTCGGCGCTTGGTTTTTCCGAAGGCGCGTGGGCCTGTGCCCAGCTCCACGCGATTGTTCCTGTGGAACCATAAAATCGGCGGCGGGTGGGTGAGGCCGGGCTGTTTGGCCAGACCTCCGCTCCCTCCGTCTCTCCGACTCTTTCCCTCACAGTTTGGCTTCGCTTTTCTCCCTCCATCTGGTAACAGCATGGGCTGTTTGCCTTGGCACAAGTGAGCCTGGGGTTTTTTGCAGAGCGCCGTAAAGAGTTCTTCAGACGTAAGCGCTGCTGCTGCTGCTGCTGCTGCTGCTGCTGCTGCTGATGATGATGATGATGATGATTTTTTTTCTTTAAGCACAAGCAGCTTTTTTTTCAGCCCCCCCACCTTGCCCTCCTCTCGAACGGCAGCTGGTCTGTCTTCCGTTTTGAATTTCGCAGGCAGGCGGCTGCCAGCATTCCCCTCCTCGATGCCGGGGGGGGGCGTGCTGCAGAAATCCTGCTAACCCCACCTGCGCTGTCGATGATTCACTGCCACTGGTGAATCTTGTTCAACATCTGATGCTCCATGCCACATGACCAAGAGCTCCCGATTGAATTCAGAACTGACATTTAATTCAACTTAATTGTGGTCGAGTGGGTTTTTGATTTTTTTTTTTGCATTTCCTCCCCTTCCCCTTTGCACCTTCGATGAGCATGTTTGTTACGGCTTAGTTAGGTCTGGCTGGTGATCAAGCTGGCAGAGTGGTCAGATGCCTCTTGTTTAATTTACCCCCCTTCTCCCCCATTTTTGCTGTGAGCTCTATTTTGTCTATGTAGAGAGCGCTAGGATTTACTTCATATTCCATTTACTGTTTATTCGTTTTGACCTCCCAGTGGAAAGGTGAAGTGTTAAAGGTGGTTTATTTGCAGGACTAAGAACATCTGCATTGCATAGCAGACTAAACGAGGAGCAATGTGTATAGAGCTTTGAAGGCAGCAAGCAAGCACAATGAAACAGCTAGTCTGCATACAGCTGTTATATTCAGTTTCACCATAAAGTTAATCAAAATATTATGTTGTTGGAGATACCACGAGCAAAGGCCAGTTCTGTTATGGGTAGAATTAAATTTGTAGAACAAGGCAGCTCTGTGTTGTGTTGTTCCCCTCAGGAGTATTAACCTTATAGCCTGCGACCTGGAGGTTAATTATTCTTGATGGTTGGGGAGTTTCTGCCTGCTCAATCCTTAGACACAGAGGTTGTATACTGCTGAAGTGTGTGTGTGTTTTTAAGTTTGGGAGTCTCTGGGTGAGCTGTTAGAGCAAAGATTTAGTTATTGTGGGTGTCACGTATTTAACCATGCTCATGACATGGTTAAAACGTCACAGGGCTTTATGTAATCTGTTGGGCATAAGTAATCTTTTCTTGACATTTCCTACAGAAGCTCATAAACATGTTTTTTGTTGGATATTGTTGCAAAATCTGTGAACTTTGTTTAAGCACATGTGGAATTGAATCCTATGCAGGGAGAACAGCCTGTCTTGAACACTTTCCTGTATAACTCAATTTACCATATATCTGAGTGCATTGCTAAGGCTGAGTCAGCTGCTAGCTTTTTCCCTGCTGTTGCTCTCTGATGAAGACCAAAAACGAAAGTTTGGAACCATCTGTACAGCAGCTTTTGTGTAGGTTTATTGGCTGATATATGAGAAACAAAAACCTCACTAGCCAGACATGACTAATGGCATCTGCCTCTATTACTACGTCTGCATTTACCACTAGCACACAAAACGGCCTTCTCCTAATTGAATGAACAGCAGCAATCTATTGCTATCCCTGTGTTTTAGCAGGGAAAAAAAAATATTTGAAAGTACAAGATGTCCTTAAAATGAAATCCGAACAAGTGGAATGTGAGCTGACAGACTGCCAAACTACCAAGTTATTGAATATAAATACTTAGATTGCATAGTGACAAGGGAGAAATTCCTCAGCGATATTGATCATTGTTCTGTATTTGTTTTATGGTAATATTGTATGTGCTGTACCTATATAAATGTACACCTTCTCCCATTTTATAAAACAGCTTAGATCTGTCTGTGCTTCCCCCATTAGAGAGGCACATTTGTGTGATGTGGTTAAATTTTGAATACCTTCTAGTTTACAATCAGGAAGTGGCATCAGATCTTTCCCGTCCTGAAGCTGTAGTCAATTGCAATACTCAATAGCAGGTAGGTCAGTTTCAGATTTTAACTTGACATCTGGAGGCAAAGGACTGTTGGGGTTTTAGCATGTGAATTTGTGTACCTAGTATGGAAGTCAATCCAAGAGTTTAGACTTTCCGATTCTCTTTGTGCGTTAATGGGGTTTACATGCAACCATTCCATTAGGTTAGAAGCCATTTTGAATATTGTATGTGTGTTATTGTTTTTAACCCGTAGAAAATGTTTATTGTACATCATCTGAACAGATATGAAATCTGAGTATAGAGGTATGTGATTATGGACTGAAATCTGAATTAAGATGCCATATTGTTGACTGTCAGTATGGCCAATTAGGCATGTCAAAAGGTGAAGTTTGTAACAGTAAATTGCGTATGGTTATGTGTGATATGTGCCAAATCAGTGTTAAGTAAAACCTGTGAAATAACACATTAAATAAACACTGTAGTTGTTCATATCCTAGGTTGTGAAGCCATCTGGAAAGTTCTTGAAATTAAAACACGTTGACCATCTTTTTTTGTTCTCAAAGGAAAAGCAAATCGTTAACCTTTATGCTTCCTAAAAAGGTTATTTGGAGATCTTCACGCTGGGAAGTCAATGAAGAGGAATTTAAGCGCCACTAAGTAATCTGTGCGATGTGATACTATGCGATACCGAGCAGCCAGAAATAACAACATAAAACAGGCCACGTTGTCTCTTTTCCTTCTGAATCTGGGTCAAAAGAGGGTCGTGTCCCACAGTAAAGACAAATAAACCGCCATGGCGCAGGCTGTGTCATTGATGAGAACCTAGTCTGTTGAGCCTTCTTCCTCTGAGCTCTTTAGATGCACGTTTTTGTCAAATCTAAAAACAGATTGATAATTGCACAAAACGCTTATTATTTGTAAACGTATTTCTAATTTGTGAAGTGATCTTGAATCAAGTCGGGGAAAACCTTTTTCCCTTTTTGAGTCTGTGAAGGCACGTCTTGCAACCCCACTTCCCTTGGGCAGAAGAATCTCAGCGGCGTTTTGTGTGCGTGTTTCAGCCTCTGCTCGCACTCCCGTTGTAAAAGAGGCTGTGTGCTTCTCCTCAGCAACAGATAACACGTCCTTCTCAAGAAGAAAAAGCAGAAGAAAAGACCGAGGAGGACAAGGCGGAGAAAAAAGAGGACGAGGAGAAGAAGGAAGAGGAGGAGAAAGATGAGAAAGAGGAATCGAAGTGAGTGTTTCTCCACGCGTCCCTGCGTTCGAGTGGGTAACTGCTGGCAGTGCTGGGGAGGGCTGGCCATGTGTCAGACTACAAGCTGAATCCCTCTTCTGTGTCAGCTGCAGGTTGGACAGACTGCTCAGTGCAGTTTAGTGGCAGAAATGAAGCTGTGAGTTATGGCAAGTTCAGTAGTAGTGACAGAAATTCCAGAGCCTTCATATTAAGGATTGATTTGCTTTTTAAAAGAGCAGCAAATTGTACTATTAAAAAAAAAATCACAGGCCGTGTCTGGCCATGACACAGATGATACTCAAACTTGGGTTTCGATTGTTTCGTAAATGGTGCTCACATTTCATTTGCCATATGATTCCATCTTCAGTCAGCTTAACTAAAGAAGCACTGAAGTAGGAAAAAATCAGCAGATGTACTGATTTTTTGTCTTTTATACTGTGGTACCCAGTACACACTCACAGCACTGTTACGTCCTTCCGCTCTGGGTCTACTGTTTCTCTCCATCGCTAAGAAGGAGATGGATTTGTTTTTAACATCTCTACTATAGATGACCTGAGCCATTCTGTGAATCTTGCTGCTTGACTGGTTTGTGCTGGATGAAGTGTTAATCCCCCAGCTCTCGCCCCTCTCAGCAGTTGTTCAGTCCTTAAAATAGCTGGCTGTGCAGATGTTTGTTTGCAGCGCTTCCCTTCCTCTGGGAGAGCCGAGCACTTGACTGCTGGCTGCAGCGTGGTTATCAAACTGCACGGAGTATCGCAGCCGGTGTGCCGATCGCACGTCCGACACCGAGCCAACCTGTTGCACAGCAGGAAGAAATCTTTCTTTGCCTTCCCCTTAGCAAAAAAGAAAGTTTTCCACTGGACTTCTTTTTAGAAAAAAATCTAAACATGATACAGAGTTGAGGGGCAGCGCAGTGGCACAGCTCTGTGGCCGTGGGTTCAGTTCCCGGAGTGCTATCGGTGTGGAGTCTGTGTGTTGCTTGGGTGACCTCTGGGTGCTCCGGTTTCTTCCCACAGTCCCAAGACAGCTATTTGGCTTCTGGGAAAACTGGCCCTGGTGCGAGTGTGTCCGTGTGTGCCATGTGATGGACAGGCGTCCAGTCCAGGGTGTATCCTGCTTAGTGCCCGTTGCTTTCCGGGACAGACTCCGCCCGGGATCAAGCGGTGCGGAAGTGGATGGCGAAGAGGGACAGCCCGAGACGGCAGACCCCCCCCGTCGTGCACGGTGCTCACTGTCCCCGCCTGTCTCTGTTTCAGGGACATCGGCAAAGACAGAGACAAGTGCGAAGGCGGCGGAGAGGACGAGGAAGGCAAAGAACAAGCCACGCCACGCGGCAGGAAGACCGCCAACAGCCAGGGCCGGCGCAAGGGCAGGATCACGCGCTCCATGGCCAGCGAGGCAGCAGCCGTGGCAGCCGAGGAAGGCCCCGCGCCCCCGCCTGCCCCCGCGGAGCCCGGTGAGCCCCCCGAGCACCCCGCCGCTCGCTCGGCCCCCCCGGGCCCCAGGGTGTGGGCTCGGAGTTTCCCCCCCCATGAGCGCAGGAGGCCGAGGCCGGGGAGGGCGGGGTACGCGTGCTGCCGTCGGCAAGAGCGGCGGGTTGAGCCGCGCACGTCTCCTGGAAACCCGACGCGTCCGCCTTCATCTCCGCCGCGGCACAGGGGCAGAGGGGAGTCGGCTGCATGATGCTGCCGTGCCTTGGAATAAGAGTGGGTGTAGAATGCTGGATTGGCCGTAACCTCCTGGTGATTTTCTTTCTCCCCCCCTCCTCATCAGCACCACAGGAGCCTGCTCAGCCCCCGAAAGCAGAGGCAGCACCGAAGAGCAGCCGGGACCAGGCCAAAGGCAGCCTGGTAACCATGGAAACGCAAGCACACAGAGGTGAGCGCACTTTAGACCAACGTTTGGGGTCTTTTTATCACGTTACACATAGCTGAAACATGTGATGGGTGGGGAGATTGCTTCCTTGTTCTGTGTTCTTTCTGGGCTCGGCGATAATGGTTTAATGGTGTTGCTCGTTCCAGCAGTTGTGGTTCGGTCTCTAGCAAGTGTGGCGGCGTCATGTCAGAGAGAGGCGGGGTCATGGGATGTTTTAGTGCACAGAGGCGTTGACCATTCTCAAGGAAACAAGGAAGCAGGGATGAATATCGGGTTGCACATCGATAAGAACTGTGATAAAACTATTGACTAAAACTGCACCAAACCAGAAAAAGATGCCCTGTATACCTGTTGTGTAATATTATTGCATCTGTCCAATAACCTGGACAAGTATTAGTGCTTGTCAGTACGCCGAAAGCACTCCTATCCTGACCAGCTCCCAGCTCACAGGAGCCTCTTGCTGATGTCATTGCGGAAGAAGCTGTCGAAATACTTTAGCACTGCAAGAGTGAAACGTCTTCGGTCCGGATTGTATCGGGTGGCCGTGCTTTTGCAGACGACTTTGCGATCCGCGTTTCCCGTGGGTAGGGGATAACGGTGCGAAAAGACAGCGCACTCGGGATCAATCAGTCTGGATCCAACATACGGTGCCTCTTACTGGAATTGGGGAAATACGAACAGAGAAAATGTGAAATATGAATTGGCGATATGTAATGCGAACACTAAAAATTGCTAATAACATTCAGGGTTAAGTCTGAGTTTTTATTTCTTATATGGTAGCAGACATGGTAAGTACAGAAGTTACATCATGTTTTCTCACGGATTTATCCAGGATAACAGGTGAAAGCTTGAACTTGATGAACGGCCAACTCCCACTGTGTCAAATGTCCTATTTTCCTCTCTATTCTTCCCATAGAATTCTCTTTGCAATGTTTTTACATGAACGCGCTACTGACTGGCTCCCCCTGGTGGCCTGAGACTTTGTGGTTTTCTTATCACTTTCTGAATCTCGGCCCCAACAGTGTAACAGATAAGGGACCGCATGTGGTTTACATGTTCACAACTTCCAGTTTCCCACGTTTGTGCTTCTCAGCTGCCGTGCTGTTTTATGATAGTTCATAATTGGCTTTCACGTTTATGGACTTTCATGCATCAGATTGTGCTCTGCGCTTCCAATAGCTTTTTTCTGTGCCGAAAATAATTTTAAAGGTGATTTTTACAGGTACATAAGAACATAAAATTTGCAAACGAGGGGAAAAACATGCAGCTCCTCTTGCTTGTTTGTTTGTTTTTTTTACTTTAAGAAGCGAATTAATCTGAGAATCTTTTCTGGATGACTCTTAAAAGATTATAAACTATCGGCTTCCACTACATGGCTGGGCAGATTCTTTCAGGCTCACAACCCCCTTAGCACTTTACATTTTAGAGCACTGAAAAAAAAAAGATTTAACAAAAATAGTTTAAGGGTTCACATGGATAAGAAATTGCCTTTATTTTACATTGTGAACTCACTGAGATGCACATTCTGCTGCTCAAATCTGCATTCGTACTTCACGATTCACACATGGTTGAATTGTTTTAGTGTATTCATTGGCGTTTAGGAATCGGACTTTACCCCCGTCATCACATTCCCTTGTTTGCAAAACAATATTGCAGACGTTTGCACAGATGGGCTCCTTTCTCCCTCTGTATACACTTGCCACCTTTTGGTTTTTCTATTGAGAAGATCAGGCAGGAGTGACCTTGCAACGGGTTCCTCCCTCGTCCCATTTTGTCTAGGCATGCTGAGCCTCGATTGCTTAAGATCAGTCTCTTGAATAAAGCTGAGTTTTATGAATGCACGCCGTGTTCCTGCGGAGTGACCCAAGAGCACCCTAATTTAAACTCCTCAAGCTCGAGGGCTTTGGGATTTATGGAGTTCTGTGTATGATTCCTGAATCATCACTTGAGCAGGCGGATTCATTTGGTTGAATAGTGGAGCGTGTTTGCAAGGCCTACTTCCAACAGAGCAGCTTTCTTTAAAGTTTAATTTTCGTTTCATAGTAAATACGAGTTTCTGTTATGAATCCAGTGTATTAAACAGTATAGCTCATTCTACATTATGTAATACCACTTGCAATGAGATATTTAATTTACTTAACACTGGAGATCAGTAACATAAGGTGGTCACCTCTAAACTTAATCTTGAATATCTACATTTTGTGTTTTTATACTTTTTGTATCAAAAGGTGTGGTAAGTTTATTTAGTGTACTGATTTCAAAATTGACTTGCTCACTTGCGAATCTGCTTTTTCCAAATGTATGATTCGATCAGCTGTCCTTGTGGTTAATACTGATATGTGGGGTTTCTGACGGGGTGCATTTGTATGTTATAAGGTTGAATGCTTGACTATTGAGTATTTAACTTATTTTCTCATAGGTTTAACATATTTATTCTCAACCATTGAGGAAGAAGGAGTATATTGATTTGCTGCAAGAAAGCGTTCAGTCGTGCCTCTTAAGTTTCAAGGACTGGAGTTTTCAAAGTACCTGTCTCCCTTTTTTTTAATGGATTTTCAATGAAAGTTATTGAATGCCCCAAATAGGCCTTCCAGGACTTTGTGTTTAAAAGCAGAAATGTCAAGGGTGATTTCAAGCTATATTTGTGCTCTGTTTACAAGATTTCAAGAAGAGCCCAAAGCCTGAATAGGTTCTACGTGCACTTAAACTTCTGAACCTTTGTGCTTTCTAAATCGCTTTCTGAGGACTGCGGCTCATCGGGAGCCAAATGGTTTTGTGACGTGCAATAGAGGAAGTCCTGAAAAAACGTACAACTGTAGCTATATGTTGTTGAAGAGGGAAAAGAAGCCTTAAGAGCCTCTCGCTGTTCCTGTCCTCACTGGACAAGAAAATACTCGTCTTCTTGTGGATTCAGAGAGCCAGCAGAAGATGGGCCCCCCTGCCTCTGGGGGGCATGGCCTGAGCAGCCCTGAATGTAAACAGATTATTAGATTGTAAGACGCGCGAGAGAGACCGAGCAAGACCTCCGCTCTGTCTGATGGGCTGGCTGTTGTGATTGCAGGCACTGCGGAGTCTGGGGAGACATCGCGCTGGACCGAGGAAGAAATGGAAGTAGCCAAAAAGGGTAGGATGTCATTGCTTTTTACCCCTTTGATCCTGTGCGGAATCGGAGGAGGACTTCTCGCCTTTCGGTTCTGTGTCTTGTTTTTTTTTCAGTGCCTCGGCTCTCGCCCTCTCTGTGCACACTGTCTTTCTGTGGTGCACCGGACCTCTCAGGCCTGTTTCGAGATAATGGAATTTGATAGTTTTGGCTCCCCTAAAAGATTTTCATCTATTATTCAGGGAAACACTTTGTTACTTCCCCATTGTGCAAAGCTGAAAAATAATGACCAGAATGTTGTTGGGCTGACGTGTGCACTGCATTTGGAAGACTTTGTATGCATTCAGGCTAGAATTACTCTTTCAATTAGTTTTAAAATAGTTTTAGGATTTTTGACTTCAGTATGCTAAACATAAATGTTCTTTTTATGATAATAGCTTTTGACTTTTGTTAATCTGAAGCATGAAGTACTATCTGAATACATTTGTCTTTGTCAAATGAAGATAAAATGCACCAGATTAAGACTTTTGTTTTTTGAAAATTGTGTTGAAGTATCACATGTATGATGTATCATCATGCAAAATATATTTTGTTGTGGTTAAATACATCTGAACTGCATGCATACTTGTTGTAGAAGTTACTTTTTTGTTCCCCATTTTGTAAAAACCTCGATTTTTTGTAGCTACTGTATCATTGAGAATTGCATGAAGATTTCGGGCTGGTTTCTTCCTCATTGGTTTTGGTGAATTTAAGCCTTTTCACATAAGTAGACATGAAAGACCTTAAACTGCCACTTGAACACGAAAAGTACACCTAACTTTCCTTAAGTGCAGTCTTGAATAATATGTAAGGTCTTGAATATGGTCATGGTAGTATGGAAAAGTCTTAAACTATGAATTGGGGAGCTCTTGACTGCTTTCTGTGAAAACTGCCCACATCAACTATTAGAATAAATTGTTCTGATAGTCTTATCAGACAGATACAAAATCTGGATTTTGGTGATTTCATTGTTAAAGACAGTATAGAGGGATTTTTCGTCTTGACATTTTGAGCCACCCTTTTCACTACACAGAAGCCTACCTGTGGAAAGATAAATGTGCAGACGTGGCCAAAGTGATCTGGTCTGTGTTACAGAGACTTTGTTAATGTTAGTTTTACAGCAGGAGTGGGGTCAAAGAAGGGTTAGTGTTTTCCCTGCCTTGTAATTAATGTCGCTGAGCCAGTTACACGTAGGTGGAGGCTATGAGGATGTTAAGTTCCCACTGTTTATGGTATAGATGCTTCACTAGCTGAATGAGATTATACTGAGGTCATTGTGGATGATCATCTAAAAAAATGCTTCTGAAACTGAGGCGTACTGTATACATTACCTTTTCAAATTGGCTGACACCCTACTGTAAACTCTAGGGTGGCTGTGACAAAAACTCTAAATATAAATGACTTATGAAGTTGGAGGATATGAAAGAGTGAGTGGAACTCAGAACTGTACTAACATGCCTAAATATCATCACTCCTAAATATTTAGGAGTTGTTAGGATGACATTGCAATTAAGGAAAACAAGAGAATTTCTTAAGCCAAGTTCCATAGTACCTGGCAGCTAATTTATTATTTGTGCAGTATTACTGACATGATGCTTTACTTTTTTTCCTTTTTTGCAGTTGACAGCTTTTTATTTTTCCATTTGTTTTTCAAGTCCATTGATTGTCTTAGAATAAGAGTTCCTAAAAATACCATTGTCTGAATTAAATCTGGATTTCATCTAGGCCTGCGTGGATTTAGCACGGGGGTCTTAGGAAGAGGGTAGTGTAAGCGAGCTAAGTATCCCCTTTGACTCTTGAATGGGTTCAGCACAGCTTTGGTTTAAGTTTATTGAAACCATCCTCGCTGATTTACATATTAACATTGGCAGACTCCCGATATTTCTTAAAAGGTCTGGGCTCAGTGCAGACGATGAGAGGTGGCATGTACCCAGTCCTGCCAGAGGCACTGTGAGGTGCTGAGCCCTAGCTTTCAGAGTGACTGAGAAAAGGTTTGAGCACATCTTACTGGTGAAGGATAACATATTCTCAATTTAACCATATAAAGAGAGCAAAACAAACGGGCTCAGCTTCAGAATGTATTTCATTTTTTATTGAATGGCAGTATTGCCTTTTCCTTCTAAATCAAGGCAGCTCTTCTGGGGGTTGTTGCTTCTGAACATACCCTAGGTTATAGGGTGGTAAGATGTTTCTCTTCAGTCCCTTCTTGAGTCACGCCTTCCCTGCTCTGTTCTCCCCTCATTGAGAGCTGCCTGCTGTGGTCACAGGGTTAGTGGAGCATGGACGCAACTGGTCAGCCATTGCCAAGATGGTGGGCACCAAGAGCGAAGCCCAGTGCAAGAACTTCTACTTCAACTACAAGAGACGACACAACCTGGATAATCTCCTCCAGCAGCACAAGCAGGTATGGGCGGATGCGGCTGCACTGCTCGCTGTGGCCGTGTGAAACACGGGAGAGTTACGTTACTTCGAACTTGATGGCTTCTGTTCTCAGGCCTTTGAAGTGCTGTGTTTGCGAAAAAAAAAACGGGGTTAAATTTTTAATTTATCTTCACTGATGTGGCTTTTTTACCTTTTGGCTGAAGTGCCAGAATGAATTAAGAAAGTTATCAAATGAAGAAGCCTGGTGTTAATTAAAGCTAATTGGTTAGAGGTCAGTCTATGCTGCTGTGGAGTTTCCTCGCTCAGAAGGAGTGGCGAGGTTGTTGGAGGATGCAGGCAGGCGTGTGCTCAGGAGTACCAATCCAGCGGCGTGTCTGGTCCCATGCAGGGTGCGCGGCGTTCCAGGGGAGATCGAGACGTGTCGCAGAGTGAGAGTGTGGCCTCGACCATCTCCGCTCCAGAGGACGAGGAGAATGAGGGCTCCAACGAGGAGGAGAATCCCGAGGACAGCGAAGGTCAGTTCTGTGCTCGGAAGGCCCCACCGTGTCCGAGCTCCCGGCAGGACAGATGTTAACACAGCAGTACAGCTGCGAGTGGCATCCATATGGATTTTCCTTTTGTCCCTGTGCATCAGCTACTGTCTCCCAAAAAACAGCACATGGTATGCTGGAGAATGATATAAAGAAAAGGTTAATGGCAAAGACAAAATAGCTCCAGAAAAGCTCAATTGTTTGGATGGCAGTCCGGTGGCAGGTGCTGTGTTCCTCCTTGAATATATTTAACACGTCGTTTCTGAGGTGGCTGTGGGTGGGTTTTGCTGAGCCGTCTGGGATCAGTGATAGTCTCTGGAGGAGTGATCTGAATTTATTGTGCCTTGCGGGAATAAACTAAATTGCATACATATTAGTGGTGCAGATTGTTTTTTTGTTCTTAGTTGTAATGGAGTGAATATTGTCTTTTTTTGACATAGTCAGCAAGTCGAACACCCTTTAATACTGCAGTTCTTGACTGTGATGTTTTATTGCCAATGAACTGTTTCATACACCAATAACTTACAGCTTTTCTGTACTTAAAACATCCCCTCTGACCTCTGTTGGCCCATCTCTCCAGGCTGAATTGGAATATATTCAAACGATCCCTTCGTGTGGCTGGTGTATTGCCCACGTACTTGCAGCAGATTTGTTAGTGTTTGATTACTGATTTCGTTACGCCTTCTTTTAAACAACATACATCGACTAAGCAAATTTCCTACTGCTGACCAGGCGGTTTTGTTTGATAATTCTCCGGGCCTTCAGAGTGGGGTTGTCTTCCTCTTGTAGTGGATGACCTGGAGTGGAGGTGAGGCTTTCATAGACTCTTGTGGTGACAGGTCTCTGGCCTTGTCAGGGTGCAGGACATCTGTTGTTGTTTTGTTATGAGATGACAAACAGGGTGTTATGCTACCAGCTTTGCTTTTTGTTGTGTCTAGAAAAGGAGGTCGCACCTCTTTCTGCTCTTCAAGGAAACCCAAACTTCTCTCTGAGCGTGCAGTGTGCAGTCTTGTGTCTGTGGGCCTTCACATAACCTGGCTGCTTTGGGAAAGTTTTAAAAGAATAGAAAGCATGATGAT